TCCCACAATGCACCTTGTTAGAGTCATAAATTAGGGCGTCACTGCCTAGTAAAGAATGAACCCCTCTTTATTCGTCACACATGCAGAGCACACTCTGCGACCCATCCTATTACTAGGAGCAGTGGGCAGCTATGCACCGGTGCCTTGCTCAAGGGCACCACGGCAGGGCAGGAGGTGAACTGGGACCCCTCCAAGTAGCAGTCCACATTCCATATTCAGGTCTGTTCGGGGACTTGAACCGGCGACCTTTCGGCTCCCAGTCCAAGCCCCGACTGACTGAGCCACTGCCACATGTTTTAAAAACCCTTTAAATCAGGAGTGTTTCTGACCTGGTACATGGAGGATAGAGGGTGAGGGTCTGGGCTCTCCCTCCTGCTCCCCCCCCAGCCACCACAACACCTCCACCGGCTCGGGGGGGCCCACCGCGTCACAGGTGAGGTTGAAGGGAACGTTTGGGAACGTGGCCACGTCCTGCGGCTCCTGGACGAAGTGAGGAACACCTGGAGGGGGAAGAAGATCAGACTGAGGAGTAATCATGGAGATGTGTTCAGGGTCACGGCACAGCGCAGGGAATAATCATGGAGATGTGTTCAGGGTCACGGCACAGCGCAGGGAATAATCATGGAGATGTGTTCAGGGTCACGGCACAGCGCAGGGAATAATCATGGAGATGTGTTCAGGGTCACGGCACAGCCAAGGAAAACACAGATGCAGTATAAGAGGAGACTTCAAATGCTGTAATTAGACACAGGTGGTGCGTTCAGGGTCCTCACCTTCCACTGTGATCCAGGCGCGTTCAGAGGAGAACGTCAGGCCGTTGGACTCGACTTCACACCAGTACTGACCCGCATCCTGCTGCTGCACCGACTTCACACTGTGGACACAAATCAATAGGAAGCATTAGATCTTCAACCAGACCAGAGACATCTTAAAGGTCACCTATCATGCTATCTCTAGCCAATAGCATAGGTCTCAGATATATACACATATATAAAAAACATGTCTCTGAAGTGTTTTGCTCCAAACACCAAACAGATCATTCTAGCCATGCCTCATATCCCTCTATTTCACTTCCTGTTTCTAAAGTGATGATTTGGGGTATAAAGCTTTAAAGAGGAGGGGTCTGAGCTCATGGGGGACCCGGCAGCTACTGTCTGAACTAAATGCTGCCGTGATGAAACACCATATCATGGATTATCAAGGATTCTCTCTGAAACAGTATGGAGCTCAAAGGCTTTCTCTCTTGCCGGTTATACCACAAGGTGAGTTCCTTTTTATTTCCTGCTTCTTCACACACATGCTCTCCAGTACAGGTTAGCTCTGAGTGTTAGCCATGCTAATGTAAACACCGACCATATTACGTCCAAAACAGTCGGGCATTGTTTCTGATAGCAACGTTTCTGATAGGGCCGTGGGGTCCACATTTCAGATATTACGTCATATCGGACGCAAATCTGGATCAGCTCCGTTGTTCCCCCGTTTTTAGAGATTTGGGTACGGAGGAAAAGAGAGAGGGTTTTATTTCCTGGCGCTGCGTGAGTTCCCCGACACACCGGGGACACACCGGGGACACACCGGGGACACACGGGGACACATGGGGACACACCGGGGACACACCGGGGACACATGGTGACACACCGGGGACACATGGTGACACACCGGGGACACACCGGGGACACATGGGGACACACCGGGGACACACCGGACACACACCGGGGACACATGGTGACACACCGGGGACACACCGGGGACACACCGGGGACACACCGGGGACACACCGGACACACACCGGGGACACATGGGGACACACCGGGGACACACCGGACACACACCGGGGACACATGGGGACACACCGGACACACACCGGGGACACATGGTGACACACCGGGGATACACCGGGGACACATGGTGACACACCGGGGACACATGGGGACACACCGGGGACACACCGGGGACACATGGGGACACATGGTGACACACCGGGGACACATGGTGACACACCGGGACACACCGGGGACACATGGGGACACACCGGGGACACATGGTGACACACCGGGACACACCGGGGACACATGGTGACACACCGGGGACACATGGTGACACACCGGGGACACACCGGGACACACCGGGACACACCGGGGACACATGGTGACACACCGGGGACACATGGTGACACACCGGGGACACACCGGGGACACATGGTGACACACCGGGACACACCGGGGACACATGGTGACACACCGGGGACACACCGGGGACACATGGTGACACACCGGGGACACACCGGGACACACCGGGGACACATGGTGACACACCGGGGACACATGGTGACACACCGGGGACACACCGGGGACACACCGGGGACACATGTTGATGTAGAGAAGACATCACAAAGTGCATTTTGCATGATAGGTCCCCTTTAAATGCTGCAAAAACAAACCGTGTAAATGGGATTAAATATTAGGAACAGTTTGCTTCACATCTTATAATTGAGTAAAGTAGTGTGTTCTATAGGTTTTAGTGCATGTCAATGGTCTGCAGAGGGAGTTTCTCTCTCACACACTATTTTTATGCTCGTCTGTAAAAACATCCTGATTTGTAAAGTCACGTCAGATACATTTCATTAACCAAAGAAATACATTATTCCTCTCTATCATTATTTCGTACTAAAGTACCTCATGGTCCCTAAGGTCACACCATGATAATGATTACTTACTACATGAATTATACATGTGATAACTTAACTAGGGCTAACCCCTCGTAGTTATTAGTGGACTGATTGATATGTTTCGTCTTTATTGACATTTCTTTAGTGGATTAGTTTTCCAGGTATTTCCAAGAAACGTATCACCAGTTCTGAGAGTTGTTCATCTCCTCCCTGATTTCTGCTGAACAATACCTAACTTCCTGTTTCACATCATATCTTTGTTGCCTTCTTGAGGGTCTTTAAAGGTCTCAGATCAGGAGTAACTTCAGGAAGCTGGAAAGTGACCTCTGACCTCCAATTTCCCTTTTTCTGTTCCTTCAGGAATGTGAGAGTAAAGCTGGCTGAGCCGCACAGATCTGAGGTCAGATTCTCAGGCAGCATTCAGGCTGTTTAAATAAAGACTGCTGATCCAGAATCAGCCGTCAGAGCCGAGGCCTCTGAGCTGCTGAACCCTCGTGGTGTCTGAGTCACTGATGACTCGTATTAATACAGCGTGTCCACACCTGCCGACTAAACAGGTTTCACTCAGATTGATCTACAATATGTGTCATCAAGATTTCACTTTGTACATTTAAGGTTATGTCACAAACACTGAAACCAAGAAAACTTCCATCGCCTCTCGTAGAGCTGGGTACGAACGTTTTATATGAAACACTGAATACACCCTTTCATACTTGAAAAATGAATGAACAGTTTTGTACATTTATGCCCTAAAATACTACTTTAAAAACTGCTAACTTTAATCAAGATTGTACATTTAATATTATTATACTGTAAGATATATTTTAATTCAAATAAATATTTTGGCTTTTATATATATCCTTTATTTAACCAGGTAAAAGTCTCATTGAGATTAAAATCTATTTTCCAAGAGCGACCTGTCCCAGAGGGCGGCGTGAACAAAGTCACAGGGAGAGGAGACGGCTGGGAAACACTCATGAAATGGCAGCCAGTCAATATGCTAAATAAAAGAAACTATTAAAAATCATTAAAAACGGGCAAAATGTAAAACGACTTCAATTGTTGACACACGAGCACTCGCATCTATGGAGTCGTGTTCTCTGTCCTTTGAGACGGACCTGGGTTCCTCCAAGGTGATCGTCTCAGGTCCTTCTGTTCCTAGTTCTGTTCTTACTTTAGGAACCAGCATCTGAATCACATCTGGGGAGCGCAGGCCATATAGACGTTCTCTTCAGATGGAAGAGGGAACCAACCCAAGCAGAGATGAGGGAACCAACCCAAGCAGAGATGAGGGAACCAACCCAAGCAGAGAAGAGGGAACCAACCCAAGCAGAGATGAGGGAACCAACCCAAGCAGAGATGAGAGAACCAACCCAAGCAGAGATGAGGGAACCAACCCAAGCAGAGAAGAGGGAACCAACCCAAGCAGAGATGAGGGAACCAACCCAAGCAGAGAAGAGGGAACCAACCCAAGCAGAGATGAGGGAACCAACCCAAGCAGAGATGAGAGAACCAACCCAAGCAGAGATGAGGGAACCAACCCAAGCAGAGAAGAGGGAACCAACCCAAGCAGAGATGAGGGAACCAACCCAAGCAGAGATGAGGGAACCAACCCAAGCAGAGATGAGGGAACCAACCCAAGCAGAGAAGAGGGAACCAACCCAAGCAGAGATGAGGGAACCAACCCAAGCAGAGATGAGGGAACCAACCCAAGCAGAGATGAGGGAACCAACCAAGCAGAGATGAGGGAACCAACCCAAGCAGAGATGAGGGAACCAACCCAAGCAGAGATGAGGGAACCAACCCAAGCAGAGAATGAGGGAACCAACCCAAGCAGAGAAGAGGGAACCAACCCAAGCAGAGAATGAGGGAACCAACCCAAGCAGAGATGAGGGAACCAACCCAAGCAGAGATGAGGGAACCAACCCAAGCAGAGAATGAGGGAACCAACCCAAGCAGAGATGAGGGAACCAACCCAAGCAGAGATGAGGGAACCAACCCAAGCAGAGATGAGGGAACCAACCCAAGCAGAGATGAGGGAAATCCAACCCAAGCAGAGATGAGGGAACCAACCCAAGGCAGAGATGAGGGAACCAACCCAAGCAGAGAATGAGGGAACCAACCCAAGCAGAGATGAGGGAACCAACCCAAGCAGAGATGAGGGAACCAACCCAAGCAGAGATGAGGGAAACCAACCCAAGCAGAGATGAGGGAACCAACCCAAGCAGAGATGAGGGAACCAACCCAAGCAGAGATGAGGGGAACCAACCCAAGCAGAGATGAGGGGAACCAACCCAAGCAGAGATGAGGGAACCAACCCAAGCAGAGATGAGGGAACCAACCCAAGCAGAGATGAGGGAACCAACCCAAGCAGAGATGAGGGAACCAACCCAAGCAGAGATGAGGGAACCAACCCAAGCAGAGATGAGGGAACCAACCCAAGCAGAGAAGAGGGAACCAACCCAAGCAGAGAAGAGGGAACCAACCCAAGCAGGGATGAGGGAACCAACCCAAGCAGAGATGAGGGAACCAACCCAAGCAGAGATGAGGGAAACCAACCCAAGCAGAGAGAGGGAACCAACCCAAGCAGAGATGAGGGAACCAACCCAAGCAGAGATGAGGGAACCAACCCAAGCAGAGATGAGGGAACCAAACCCAAGCAGAGATGAGGGAACCAACCCAAGCAGAGATGAGGGAACCAACCCAAGCAGAGAAGAGGGAACCAACCCAAGCAGAGATGAGGGAACCAACCCAAGCAGAGAGAGGGAACCAACCCAAGCAGAGATGAGGGAACCAACCCAAGCAGAGATGAGGGAACCAACCCAAGCAGAGAAGAGGGAACCAACCCAAGCAGAGAAGAGGGAACCAACCCAAGCAGAGATGAGGGAACCAACCCAAGCAGAGAAGAGGGAACCAACCCAAGCAGAGAAGAGGGAACCCAACCCAAGCAGAGATGAGGGAACCAACCCAAGCAGAGATGAGGGAACCAACCCAAGCAGAGATGAGGGAACCAACCCAAGCAGAGATGAGGGAACCAACCCAAGCAGAGATGAGGGAACCAACCCAAGCAGAGATGAGGGAACCAACCCCAAGCAGAGATGAGGGGAACCAACCCAAGCAGAGATGAGGGAACCAACCCAAGCAGAGAAGAGGGAACCAACCCAAGCAGAGATGAGGGAACCAACCCAAGCAGAGAAGAGGGAACCAACCCAAGCAGAGAAGAGGGAACCAACCCAAGCAGAGAAGAGGGAACCAACCCAAGCAGAGATGAGGGAACCAACCCAAGCAGAGAGAGGGAACCAACCCAAGCAGAGATGAGGGAACCAACCAAGCAGAGAATGAGGGAACCAACCCAAGCAGAGAAGAGGGAACCAACCCAAGCAGAGAAGAGGGAACCAACCCAAGCAGAGATGAGGGAACCAACCCAAGCAGAGAAGAGGGAACCAACCCAAGCAGAGATGAGGGAACCAACCCAAGCAGAGAAGAGGGAACCAACCCAAGCAGAGATGAGGGAACCAACCCAAGCAGAGAAGAGGGAACCAACCCAAGCAGAGATGAGGAACCAAACCCAAGCAGAGATGAGGGAACCAACCCAAGCAGAGAAGAGGGAACCAACCCAAGCAGAGAAGAGGGAACCAACCCAAGCAGAGATGAGGGAACCAACCCAAGCAGAGATGAGGGAACCAACCCAAGCAGAGAAGAGGGAACCAACCCAAGCAGAGAAGAGGGAACCAACCCAAGCAGAGATGAGGGAACCAACCCAAGCAGAGAAGAGGGAACCAACCCAAGCAGAGAAGAGGGAACCAACCCAAGCAGAGAGAGGGAACCAACCCAAGCAGAGATGAGGGAACCAACCCAAGCAGAGAAGAGGGAACCAACCCAAGCAGAGAAGAGGGAACCAACCCAAGCAGAGATGAGGGAACCAACCCAAGCAGAGATTTATAAATAAAACCCAACCAATGGGAAAGTCAAAAGACAGCCAATTAGCAGCAGCAGAATATAAAGTGCAATAGTGTACCCGATATCCACGTCCAGTAACAAAGCGTAAGGCCCAATGGTACACAGTAGACTCTTTAGGCGCTGGTCAGAGGCGTAGACTCTTTAGGCGCTGGTCAGAGGCGTAGACTCTTTAGGCGCTGGTCAGAGGCGTAGACTCTTTAGGCGCTGGTCAGAGGCGTAGACTCTTTAGGCGCTGGTCAGAGGCGTAGACTCTTTAGGCGCTGGTCAGAGGCGTAGACTCTTTAGGCGCTGGTCAGAGGCGTTCATATCAAGCAGATCACCATCATCCAATACAGGTAAAAACGTTGCAGAGATCAAACCTGACCCTTTTGCTAAACTTACTTTTATATTATATATCTTAAAGCGGTCCTTTCATCCTCATATGCTTTAATGTGCAAAGGGTCATTATATTTTATTATTGTTTTATACTTCTGTCCGGTGTAAATGATAATAATACAAATAATAATGATGTAAGAAATAAAGGGATGTTAAAGCAAAGTATTGGACAGACTGACACTGATGCAAGACTAAGATTATGTTCACAATGTTGTGTCTGAATGTGTCTGAATGTGTCTGAATGTGTCCTTGGGAGAAAGAGTCAGGACATAATGAGGGGGGGGGGGGGGGTTAGATTGACGGGAAGGAGGAGGAGGAGGAAGAGGAAGAGGAGTCATTCATCAAAGCCGACAGCTGCTGCCTGTATTTACTGTCTATGAGCTGTTGAACCACCAAACAGAGCAGAGACAGACACACCTGAGACTCCAGACACACCTGAGACTCCAGACACACCTGAGACTCCAGACACACCTGAGACTACAGACACACCTGAGACTCCAGACACACCTGAGACTCCAGACACACCTGAGACTACAGACACACCTGAGACTACAGACACACCTGAGACTCCAGACACACCTGAGACTCCAGACACACCTGAGACTCCAGACACACCTGAGACTACAGACACACCTGAGACTACAGACACACCTGAGACTACAGACACACCTGAGACTCCAGACACACCTGAGACTCCAGACACACCTGAGACTACAGACACACCTGAGACTCCAGACACACCTGAGACTCCAGACACACCTGAGACTCCAGACACACCAAACCAGCTTCAAAGAAATGGTGAGGAGGACGTCTGATTCACGGACAAGAAGCTGCACTCGAACACACCGTAAAGAAAGCAGCTAACAGGAAACTACTAACACGTAGGATCTGAAGCTAACAGGAAGCTACTAACACGTAGGATCTGAAGCTAACAGGAAACTACTAACACGTAGGATCTGAAGCTAACAGGAAACTACTAACACGTAGGATCTGAAGCTAACAGGAAGCTACTAACACGTAGGATCTGAAGCTAACAGGAAACTACTAACACGTAGGATCTGAAGCTAACAGGAAGCTACTAACACGTAGGATCTGAAGCTAACAGGAAGCTACTAACACGTAGGATCTGAAGCTAACAGGAAGCTACTAACACGTAGGATCTGAAGCTAACAGGAAGCTACTAACACGTAGGATCTGAAGCTAACAGGAAACTACTAACACGTAGGATCTGAAGCTAACAGGAAGCTACTAACACGTAGGATCTGAAGCTAACAGGAAGCTACTAACACGTAGGATCTGAAGCTAACAGGAAGCTACTAACACGTAGGATCTGAAGCTAACAGGAAGCTACTAACACGTAGGATCTGAAGCTAACAGGAAACTACTAACACGTAGGATCTGAAGCTAACAGGAAGCTACTAACACGTAGGATCTGAAGCTAACAGGAAGCTACTAACACGTAGGATCTGAAGCTAACAGGAAACTACTAACACGTAGGATCTGAAGCTAACAGGAAGCTACTAACACGTAGGATCTGAAGCTAACAGGAAGCTACTAACACGTAGGATCTGAAGCTAACAGGAAGCTACTAACACGTAGGATCTGAAGCTAACAGGAAACTACTAACACGTAGGATCTGAAGCTAACAGGAAGCTACTAACACGTAGGATCTGAAGCTAACAGGAAGCTACTAACACGTAGGATCTGAAGCTAACAGGAAGCTACTAACACGTAGGATCTGAAGCTAACAGGAAGCTACTAACACGTAGGATCTGAAGCTAACAGGAAACTACTAACACGTAGGATCTGAAGCTAACAGGAAGCTACTAACACGTAGGATCTGAAGCTAACAGGAAGCTACTAACACGTAGGATCTGAAGCTAACAGGAAACTACTAACACGTAGGATCTGAAGCTAACAGGAAGCTACTAACACGTAGGATCTGAAGCTAACAGGAAACTACTAACACGTAGGATCTGAAGCTAACAGGAAGCTACTAACACGTAGGATCTGAAGCTAACAGGAAGCTACTAACACGTAGGATCTGAAGCTAACAGGAAACTACTAACACGTAGGATCTGAAGCTAACAGGAAACTACTAACACGTAGGATCTGAAGCTAACAGGAAGCTACTAACACGTAGGATCTGAAGCTAACAGGAAACTACTAACACGTAGGATCTGAAGCTAACAGGAAGCTACTAACACGTAGGATCTGAAGCTAACAGGAAGCTACTAACACGTAGGATCTGAGGGAGAGGACTCTCCAAAGGAAACCAGATGACCTCAGAGTGCAGATAAACACGCTGTAATTGAGTGGTGAATGGATGAGTCCTTGAACACAGGAATGAGTTAGCATTTAACATGAAGCACCTGGAGGACTTTTAAGCAAGTGGAGGAGTTTTGTTTTGAAGAAGCTTTAGGACTTATCCTGTAAAGTAACTCCAGGACGGTGGTGGCGAAGTCCATAGGGACTTGGCTTGGCAACTGGAAGGTCACCAGTTCAGTTCAAGCTACCGAGGTGTCCCTGAGCAAGGCACCTACACTGCTCCCCGGGCGCCGTACATAATGGCAGCCCACTGCTCCTAACTCTAGGATGGGTCAAATGCAGAGGAACCGTTTCGTTACTAGAACCTGTACGACGTGATGACAATACAAAAGGATTATTATTCTGAAATGTCTTTAGGAAATGTAATATGCATCAGCTATCAGATGTTTTACTTTGAAGCAACATGAGGACTTGTATTGGTAGCAGCTTTCTGACTTTGATTATAACGTTGCTTGAGGACTTTTAAGCAAGTGGAGGAGTTTCATTTTGAAGCAGCTTTGGGACTTTCAGTTATCAGACCCGAGTTTCTTGAGATGATCTTGCTTTCCCATCAATGTATAAATGGTCTGACTCATTGATATATATATAGGTTCATGTAGATATGAGGCAGCACCTGTGGTAGGTCTCCCAGTGCTGCTCTCCCAGAGTGATGAACATCTGGTCCGTGCTGTACAGCTTCTCTCCGTCCTTCATCCACACGATGTCGGGCTCCGTCAGACCCTGGACGGCACAGCCCAGCCGCGCCGCGTTCCCCTGAGAGACCGTCTGGTTCACAGGGTGCTTCGTGAAGATCACACCTGAGGGGGGGCGACAGGGGGGGATAATCAGCTCTTCTCCAGAGACACTGTGGTGGACATTAGAAATGATATATATCCAAAGCTTTGCAGTTTACAATTCGGTAATGCTTCAAGTGTTCTTGCATCACAGCAGCTTCGTTTGCAAAATCAACGAGGACCAATATTTAACAAGCCAACAGTATTCAACATAAACAGATATATTCCTGCACTTTAACTGCATCTGCGTATTGAAGTATGAATGCTTGTTGTTTGGATGTTGTCTTCTTGTACATCTCGTTTGTTTGTTTGATGGCACCTTAAAAAAAAAGGATTAGCTCTACTCATCTCATTGTACCTGTATAATGACAATAAAGGATTCTATTCATAACATTAAACTCACTTAAAGGTGGGGTAGGTAAGTTTGAGAAACCGGCTCAAGATACACTTGTTGTTATATTCCATGGAATGCTCTTAACATCCTGATAGCAATGAATATCTGAAGTGCTTTGACAAAAAATCCATAAATAAATATCATCTGTGGAAGCTGTAGTACTGTAAAAAGCACGACCAATCATCTGAGCCGGCCCGGCTAAAGTAACTGGATGGCCTACCTGCCTGTCAGCCTTCCATCTGTGCACAGACTTATCTCGTGCCCTCATTGGTCATGTGCGCGTTCGTGTGTGTTGGAGGAGGGGCTCTGTAAGGAAGGGGCAGATTTTCTCCGGTTGTGTATTTTCACATTCTAGCGATCTCGAGCCGGTTTCTCCAAAATTACCTACCCCACCTTTAAGGACAATATGTTCATAACCTCAATTGTAAATCTGGGATTGAACTAGGGGACCAGGTAGGCTGTGGCTCAGTGGGTTGGTGCGTTAGTGTGCTGATCTTCGAATCAGAGGGTAGCAAATTTGAGTCCCACTGCAGTCAGCATGTCGTTGTGTCCCTGAGACACTTCACCCCAAAGTGCTCCTGTGGGGATTGTCCACAGTACTGAATGTATGTAAGTCGCTTCGGATAAAAGCGTCTAACAAGTGAAATGAAATGTAACTACATATTTAATTTGACTATTGACTGCATGGTGCACTAAAGAGAGCTCCAGTCTAAATGTATTAAATCCTGACATCCTGTGTCTCTGATTTGAAGCGAAGTTCATTCATAGTTTCTCTATTCCAAAAAAATAAAGCGTCCCAAAGTTTTCTGACGTCCCGTGAACGCCTCATCACAGAGAGAGGGATGATGTCATCGACCACCAACTGGCGGTTACATCACTTCCCTCCACTCATGACCTCAAAGGGTATCATTTCCCTCCAACGATGACGTCACACATTAAACACTGAGCTGGTGATGCCATCGTTTTGTGCATTGAGATAAAAAAAAGATATGAATATAAGGAAAATACAAATAATGTTGATTTTGTAAAAGATAAAAGGGTTTGTTTTAATTCTGGTAAAAACTGAATGATTCTATAAAATGTGTCATAACAACATAAATATATCTTCTAAAAAGGGGAGATTTAATTGGTATAATTAGAAACTGAGTGAGCGTTTGTTTGTTGCATCAACACACTGGTACATCTCCATCTACTTATTATTTTAACATCGTGCATGTGTCCTCAGTGCAATGCATTGTGGGATAGCAGCATTAACAGCTTAGTTGAAATTTTAAGTTTTTCCTCGGTAATTTGTCACAGAACTGAGACACAGCTCAGTGTTGGTACTGACAACAACTGCAGCTGCTCAGTGTGTGTGTGTGTGTGTGTGTGTGTGTGTGTGTGTGTGTGTGTGTGTGTGTGTGTGTGTGTGTGTGTGTGTGTGTGTTGCAGCTGCAAACACACAGAGTGACCATGCTGTTTGTGTCTTCATTTAATTGTATTTTTAATGTTTTATTATATTATTTTATCTGTTTTCTTTATTATCCTTTGTAACTTTTTTCTACAAAAGTCCGAGGTGAAGGTCATGTGACCTTTGACCTCCTCACTGCAGGTGGTTTGTAATGACATTCATCCACAGTCACAACATGAAGGGTGGAAGTCAAAAAAGTCACATTCAGGTGTCAACATGTAAAGTTCAGAGACCTGTTTACTGAATTGAACCCATTTATAATTGATGTCATTCTGTCCTGTCCTTGTTCTGTATGTTCCTGCTCTATTCTGTCATTTGTGCTGCAACACAAACTCGAAGCCAACAATAAAGATGTGTTGTTATTGAAAGGTCGCAGTGAGTCATAAACAAAGAGGGATAATTACATTGATTGACTGTAATTGGTGTGATAATAAGGGCTGTGTGAGGCTCACATTCCCACATGTTCCCTCAGTAACAGTTGAGAGCTGTTTAACTGCGGATAGTCCTCACACCAAACTTCATTAGAGAAAAACAAACATTATTAAAATGGTGCTTTTTTGTTTCTTTTCTTTACAATGACAAAGATGTATCCCTCACTATCATTTCATAACGAGTCTCCTGGTTAATTCGGCATACATACTATGCACTAATAAGCAATTTATAAATTATATTTTAAGGTTGTTTACTGATTCATGCAGCTCAAAAACAACCCGCTGCAGTGCATTTTAACTAGAAGAGGCTACAGGTATAACAGTCCAAAAGTGGCTATTACTCTAGATAAAGTGCTGCTTGGCACGTTAGGTGTATGCCGAATGAAAGGGAGGCTAGTTAAGATTCATTATATGTTTTAAAATGTTTTTATAGAAGTAAAGATTCTCTTGAAAGGTTATCAAACCTAAAAATGCAATATTCCTAATGGAGTTTTGCATTGTAAAGTTAATTTAACAAAAAAGTAACCCACACATTCAACCACAGTTTTAACTTGTATAAATGTAGATCAAAACACATACATAATCAGCATTTATAATTAACACTCACCATTTCCACAGGTGCCTTCAGGACTCCAAAGTAAAAGCAGTAAAATCCACAGAAACATTTTTTAAATTCTCATTATTTCCTTCCGTGGATCTTCTTAAACCGCAGCTCACATTAACAAGGGTCAAACTCGGCTCGCTCGTCCTTTCCTTCGTCACTTAAGCCTCATTTCCAGCTGGAAAAATAGGATATCCACCGGAGAAAAGAGCCAGATTGGAGGTGGCAAACAGTTCGCAGGATTAAACCCTGAATTCATGGAGGAAGAGGATTCGTTAAAGCAGAACGGCTTAGAGACAAACAGATAAAAAAGGGCAGTTTTTGTTTGTTTTAGGAGATAAATCCTCAGAAAAGTTCATGTAGAGTTTGTTATCAAACTGCAAACACTTCCACACATTCCGCTGCTGCTGCTTAACTGAGAAAGTGACGTCAAGCTACACATGTTGAGAAACGACCACACCGGAAGTGAGGCCTTCAAAATGAAATCATGATCTTTTATATATTTTATGAAAAAGTTATGGATTGTCTCAGAAACCAGTCACCTGTGTGATTTTGGTGACAGTACGACTATCTAAGACAGGGGTGTCCAAACTACGGCCCGGGGGCCAAATGCGGCCCGCCGTCCATTTTGAATCGGCCCTCAGCAAATTCAAAATGTATAATGTAATATGACCCACAAATTAAACTTGTGCTTGTCTTGAATTGTAGTTCATAAATATGAATGTAAACATATATCACACAGTAGTATTCATGTGTTCATAAGACCACTTTTCAAATAAATTCAGTCAATTAAAGTTGGAAACATTTTCTAACCAATCTTTGTTGATAAGAAAAAAGCCCAATGACTTATTTCTATAACAAGCTTGAAATAAACCCTTCCTATTTCTCCTTATTATAATCAATCTGAGGCTTCTGTTTTAAGGAATGAGCTGTCAACACTCACAAGCATCATTTACCTACATTTGATTGATATGTCCAACTTATAACTGAACTTATGAGGCAGTAAACCTCTCCTCTACCAGCCCTTAGTATATTTTTCTTAGACAAAGTTATAGTGGGGGTGCCAAATCCGGCAGCACCAACACCTGGTCTGCCTCATGTGGAAGCCCCTCTTTAGTTTCTCACCTCACCGACCAAGACTATTAAACACCTGAACTTTTGAAACAACATCCATAACATTCATCTGGCTGCAACTTAGAAATTATTTATCTAATATATCATATTCCAATCACTTGTATATAGACTCTTATTGCACTATTTCACTATTTTGCTTTTTGTATTCACTTGCACTATTTTGTCAGTGTTATTGTGTTGCTCTGTTGGAGGAGCCTGTGACCTAAGATTGTCATCGTCATAACTACACTGTAGCTACTGTATGTATGACTAATAAAAGCCTTGAACCTTGAACCTTGAACATGTGGAAGCCCCTCTTTAGTTTCTCACCTGCTGAGCCCAGAGTAAAATGCTTTTGTGTGACCAAACTGAACTTCAATATCATCAGTTCCACACATTAAAGGTCACCTATCATGCTATTTGTAGGCAATAGCATAGGTCTCAGATATATACAAATATATAAAAAACATGTCTCTGAAGTGTTTTGCTCCAAAATACCAAACAGATCACCCATTCTAGCCATGCCTCATATCCCTCTATTTCACTTCCTGTTTCAAAAGTGATGATTTTATGTATAAAGCTTTAAAAGAAAAAATATTGATAACATTTAAAAGTAGGGGTCTGAGCTCATGTGGGACCCGGCAGCTACTGTCTGAACTAAATTCTGCCGTGATGAAACACCATATCATGGATGATCAAGGATTGTCTCTGAAACAGTATGGAGCTCAAAGGCTTTCTCTCTTGCCGGTTATACCACAAGGTGAGTTCCTTTTTATTTCCTGCTTCTTCACACACATGCTCTCCAGTACAGGTTAGCTCTGAGTGTTAGCCATGCTAATGTAAACACCGACCATATTACGTCCAAAACAGTCGGGCATTGTTTCTGATAGCAACGTTTCTGATAGGGCCGTGGGTCCACATTTCAGATATTACGTCATATCGGACGCAAATCTGGATCAGCTCCGTTGTTCCCCCGTTTTTAGAGATTTGGGTACGGAGGAAAAGAGAGAGGGTTTTATTTTCTGACGCTGCGTGAGTTCCCAGACACACCGGGGACACACCGGGGACACACCGGGGACACACCGGGGACACACCGGGGACACACCGGGGACACATGTTGATGTAGAGAAGACATCAACAAGTGCATTTTGCATGATAGGTCCCCTTTAAAATCAGAATCTATATTGATAAGACTTGCTTTCCATAGTTAGGTTTATTTTTGAAAGATATTGAAGGATCAATAACTAAAACACAAACAATTAATAATTATTTTCTGTATTTTTCTTATTACAGTTTGGGATATACCAATGATTATGAACAAGATTTATTTTATTCATTTTTATTGTTAATGCAGGAAATCAGGAGCATGTATTTACCTCGTAGGGCAAACATAACATCTGATCAAAACAGCCCAAACTGAATGTATGAAGCCACTGATCCAGAGTAAAGGAAGCATGATACATGGTTTAAACGGGACATTTGTGCTTAAGGGTCTGAGTGTCTTTATGTTGGCTACACGCTTTATTATAGGAGCTGAGAATAAACCTCCAAAGTTATAAAAACATGCTTGCCAAAATGTATAAATGCCGTATACATTAACACATGCGGAAATGTATTAAAGAACAATTAAGAAAATGTCTCGAGGAAAACATGCATTTCAACCATGCAGCGGACAGGAACACATGTTAGACACAATTAATACGTTATATTTGTGTTGATGTGAAATAAACATCATGTCCTTCAATCGTCCGACCGGACAGAATAACGCTGTTCATTATTCACATTTTACATCTCAATGTAACGGAACAACAGAAAACCATAAAACAGTCCTAAATATATTTATACACAAATACCAGGAGGGGAAAGAGAGCTGATCCATTAAAGGGCTCCTCTTATGTCTCTACTTTAAAGAGTCCTCTCCTCCTGATGTTCAGGTGTATATCAGTATGTAGTGTCTCTACTTTAAAGAGTCCTCTCCTGCTGATGTTCAGGTGTATATCAGTATGTAGTGTCTCTACTTTAAAGAGTCCTCTCCTGCTGATGTTCAGGTGTATATCAGTATGTAGTGTCTCTACTTTAAAGAGTCCTCTCCTGCTGATGTTCAGGTGTATATCAGTATGTAGTGTCTCTACTTTAAAGAGTCCTCTCCTGCTGATGTTCAGGTGTATATCAGTATGTAGTGTCTCTACTTTAAAGAGTCCTCTCCTGCTGATGTTCAGGTGTATATCAGTGTGTAGTGTCTCTACTTTAAAGAGTCCTCTCCTGCTGATGTTCAGGTGTATATCAGTATGTAGTGTCTCTACTTTAAAGAGTCCTCTCCTGCTGATGTTCAGGTGTATATCAGTATGTAGTGTCTCTACTTTAAAGAGTCCTCTCCTGCTGATGTTCAGGTGTATATCAGTATGTAGTGTCTCTACTTTAAAGAGTCCTCTCTTGCTGATGTTCAGGTGTATATCAGTATGTAGTGTCTCTACTTTAAAGAGTCCTCTCCTACTGATGTTCAGGTGTATATCAGTATGTAGTGTCTCTACTTTAAAGAGTCCTCTCCTGCTGATGTTCAGGTGTATATCAGTATGTAGTGTTTCTACTTTAAAGAGTCCTCTCCTGCTGATGTTCAGGTGTATATCAGTATGTAGTGTCTCTACTTTAAAGAGTCCTCTCCTGCTGATGTTCAGGTGTATATCAGTATGTAGTGTCTCTACTTTAAAGAGTCCTCTCCTGCTGATGTTCAGGTGTATATCAGTATGTAGTGTCTCTACTTTAAAGAGTCCTCTCCTGCTGATGTTCAGGTGTATATCAGTATGTAGTGTCTCTACTTTAAAGAGTCCTCTCCTGCTGATGTTCAGGTGTATATCAGTATGTAGTGTCTCTACTTTAAAGAGTCCTCTCCTGCTGATGTTCAGGTGTATATCAGTATGTAGTGTCTCTACTTTAAAGAGTCCTCTCCTGCTGATGGTCAGGTGTATATCAGTATGTAGTGTCTCTACTTTAAAGAGTCCTCTCCTGTCTGAAACCAGAGCCCAGTCTGCTCTGATTGGTTAGCTGGCCGGCTCTGTTGTGATTGGTCAACAGCTTAGAGATGTCCCGCCCCTTAGCCTATCACAATATGTTGGAGGACACTACAGGAGGGAAGGAAAGCATAATTGGGCGTCTTTGACTTGTCTAAACTTTATTTTCAATACATTAAAAGTAATACTGTTAAAGTTGGATCCTATAACGTTTCTTACACAGTATTTTTCCACCAGAAAAATAGTATAATAAAATCAAATCCCCAAAGTCCACCTGCTGTTACTTTAAAATGGGATTTTAACCGAGTATATTGAATATTTGATCACACATCCACGAGTCATGTAAATGCTGCTCTCATCAGATTTAATATTTTAAAAGTTTTAATATGCACTCTTCTGCTCTGACTATCATCTAAAGGTGTATTTGTATTATTCATTTTTGCATATTTTGCTCTGTATGCTGTGTTCATTACGCAGTATTAGTAAATATTACATAATAATCGTGACTGTGACTTAAATGAAAAGGCTTTGAAATAAATCCTGAAATAAATTGTAAAATAGAATTTAGAAAATAAAAAAATACTTATTTATTTTACTATATTGACTAATTTATATATTTATAATGTACATTTATTTATACATTCACCAAAGAATAAGAATTTCAGGATTTATTTCGTAGCCATATTAAATTATTTCATAGGCATACTTATTTAATTTAATATCAACATAAATGGAATTTAGTGTCTCTTAATTGGGACCAATTAACGACATGTTATCACTAACTGTGGTGATTCTAGAGTCTGTGGGGGTCCAAGGCAAAGATTCACTGGGGGCCCCTCGAACCAGCTTTCATCACCATCAGTGGCGCCCCAACACACTCTTCTCCCCCCCCCCCCCCCCTGCATGTCGTTGCAGTAAATTAAAGGGTGTTTCATGTTGTCGTTGCTGTGGACCTTCTTAATCTACCTTCTTTGGGGGCCCCCTTCTGGTCGCCTGTTCGCAAGCTGCTAACTAACAATTATTAATTAAATCCCTGTTTTGTGTAAAAAACGAAAACAATGGACATCATAAATCCAACAGAGACACATAACGTAGGAACTGGAAACTGATTTCTTTGGGTTATTTTTGGATACAAAATTATTTTAAAATGGTGTCAGATTTTTCCCTGTGGTTTATTGTAATGTTTCAGGTGAAACTAACCCGTTTCCTGATGAAAACAAGCCCCTAAAAAAACACAAACAGCATGTTGGGAACACATGAACCTTCTATAGCCATCCTAAAAACCCAAATCAACCTGTTCTTAGTCCTGGTGAAAACAAGCCCCTCAGACTGACAGCATGTTGGGAACACATGAACCTTCTTCAAACATAGTAAACTTTTCTGTTTCTTCAATTCTACAAACTCGTGCTGTTTGTTCAAGACTCAGATGAAATGCTTCAGTTTGAATAACTCTGCGGAGACATTGAGCAGAGTTTAAAGGTAAAAAGTAATAATTTAAAGCGACAAACGTTGTTAAGCACTGAACGTTGTGTTTCTGTCCCTGAGTCTCTGCAGTCTGGAAACACACTGAAGCTTCACCATCACACTCCTCCTTCTTCTCTCGTGTTGAATCTGACGCTCAGAGACCTGTGGGGGGGGGGGAGGGGGGGGGTCGCTGTGTCGAGGACTGTTTATTAGCAGCAGCAGAAGAAGCAGCAGCTGACTCGTCCACCAGGTGGCGCTCTGAGGGTTGGACTTTTCTTCGAGCGTCTTCAGGCGAACTTCTTCTTGGTGGCTGTGAAACGCTCCATGTACTGAGGGGAGAAACAGAGAACATTTCAATTGACTGCAATGAACAACATTAATTACGACTATGTGAGGGTCCCTGAACGTTACACTGCCCTGTAGCTTTTCTAGTATTTATACCCGTCTTATTCTATTTTAGCTTGTTTGAATCTGAATCTCTTGCCTTTTTAAAGACTGTTTTCAAGTGTAGTTTTATAATGTCTTCCTTTTGCATTATGTTTTGTCTTTGAATTGCCTTGTTGTTCAAATGTGCCGTATAAATAACTTATGTGACTTTTTATGGGAATTATTGGACGCCATTATATCCTCTCTTTTGGTATACAATGGTTTAGTGTAACGTACCCTTAAAGGTCACCTATCATGCTATTTGTCGGCAATAGCATAGGTCTCAGATATATACAAATATATAAAAAACATGTCTATTTCACTTCCTGTTTCAAAAGTGCTGATTTTATGTATAAAGATTTAAAAATAAAATAATTGATAAAAAAGTAGGGGTCTGAGCTCATGCGGGACCCGGCAGCTACCGTCTAAACTAAATGCTGCCGTGATGAAACGCCATATCATGGATTATCAAGGATTGTCTCTGAAACAGTATGGAGCTCAAAGGCTTTCTCTCTTGCCGGTTATACCACAAGGTGAGTTCCTTTTTATTTCCTGCTTCTTCACACACATGCTCTCCAGTACAGGTTAGCTCTGAGTGTTAGCCATGCTAATGTAAACACCGACCATATTACGTCCAAAACAGTCGGGCATTGTTTCTGATAGCAACGTTTCTGATAGGGCCGTGGGTCCACATTTCAGATATTACGTCATATCGGACGCTAATCTGGATCAGCTCCGTTGTTCCCCCGTTTTTAGAGATTTGGGTACGGAGGAAAAGAGAGAGGGTTTTATTTTCTGACGCTGCGTGAGTTCCCTGACACACCGGGGACACACCGGGGACACACCGGGGACACACCGGGGACACACCGGGGACACACCGGGACACACGCCGGGGACACATGGTGACACACCGGGGACACATGGTGACACACCGGGGACACACCGGGGACACATGGTGACACACCGGGGACACATGGGGACACATGGTGACACACCGGGGACACATGGTGACACATGGTGACACACCGGGGACACATGGTGACACACCGGGGACACATGGTGACACACCGGGGACACATGGGGACACATGGTGACACACCGGGGACACACCGGGGACACACCGGGGACACACCGGGGACACATGGTGACACACCGGGGACACATGGTGACACACCGGGGACACACCGGGGACACATGGTGACACACCGGGGACACACCGGGGACACACCGGGGACACATGGTGACACACCGGGGACACATGGGGACACACCGGGGACACACCGGGGACACACCGGGGACACATGGTGATGTAGAAAAGACATCAAGTGCATTTTGCAGGATAGGTCCCCTTTAAGAGGATGAGAAAGGAAGCATTGAAGCTGCTTTAGAGCCAGCTCTTATCATGGCTGCAACATAAAACACTATCGTTGACGTAAAAACTGTTGTTTATTAAATGCAGCCGACAGGACAACAGGACAACAGGACAACACTAGTAGAGTTAATAGTTTCTTCCCTCACTTCACCTGAGCTCCGTTTCTCACCTTGTCGCAATAAAATGTTATCGTTGACTGTTGGGAAAACACTGAATGTCCTCCTCCAATATCAGAGTAGCATGCTAACAAAGGTATCCCACCTGTAGCTGTGAACATGACAGGATGTATGATTACCTAGAAGAGCATCAGGACTGTTTGAGGCATATGATAGCTATGTGATTAACATGATGATTCAGCCTCTATGGAGAGAGACATCAAGCATGCTCATTTCTGACGTGGAGCTAATCTGAAGTAAACATTGAATACTGCTTTCTATTCCTCCATCTTGTGACTGTGTAACTCCCTCTCTTGGATATCAGCATGTGAAGGACACTGTTCAGGAACTAGTTGATGCTCTGTATGTGATGACTACTTCCATTCTGGAGAGGATCACAGATACATGGATCCTGAGATTGAAGCTCAAGCCGGGGACCAGTGATTATTAACATTGACATAAAAACTGTTGTTTATTTCAATGCAGTCGACGGGACACACCAGGAGACCACTAGTAGCGTTAATAGTTTCTCCCCTCTCTTCCCCTGAGCTGTGTTCCTCACCTTGTCGTACCCCTCCAGGTCCCGCAGGTTCTTCACCTCGAACAGGTTCCCCTCCACAGAGAACAGAGACACCTGAGAGTCTCTGAGGATGGACTGAGGCACGGAGGACAGGTCCAGACAATTCTCCTCCAGACGGAGCACCTTCAGACGGGGACACTTCGACACCTCCTCTGTCAGCACTGAGATCTGAGGAGGAGGAGGAGGAGGAGGGGGAGGAGGAGGAAGAGGAGGAGAAAGTATTAGTTAAGATCTAGAACCTGGACTATGGCGCTTTTCCACTGCAGGGCCTCGCACGGCTTAGTACGGTACAGTTAGGCCTCACAGCTCCTCATATCTGTTCAAAAGTGAAACAAGTACAAACCACAGACTGTCTGTGTCATGGTGAATACAGTCGCTGCTTTATTTATGTCTGTAGGCCGTTGTTGTGAGTGTGGACGGTCGGAGCATATACTGCGTTAGCTTAGCCAATCTCCATTTAGAAAACACGCATTTTAAAAGGTTTTTCCCCTGCCGTCTGTCTGCAGACTTGACAAAGCATTAATTCATGGTTTTTACTAACCGGTATCAGTATGTTGTTACTTCATCATTTTGAAACGTGTATTACAATTAAATCACGGTCAAATATGTCCATCTTGTTGTAGTTGTAGCCCCCTTGCCAGCGATCCTCTCTCTAGTTTAGCATACTCAGCCCGACTCAGCCTCGTTGTCTCTGGCCCTAGACCCACGATTTTATGAGGCCAGAAAAACTGTGAATTAGGACCCGCCGGCCGGTACTAGGCCAAGTGGAAACGCAACCAAAGACGGGCCGCTGACGTCACAGCCCTCTTAAACCGGGCTCCGCGCTGTAGTGGAAACGCGCCATAAGAGGCTTTCCCATTTTTACTCCATTCCCATTTAAATATGTTAAAGTGCTGCTAGTGCTAGTGCTAATGCTAGTGCTAGTGCTAATGCTAGTGCTAATGCTAGTGCTAGTGCTAATGCTAATGCTAATGCTAGTGCTAGTGCAGATCCTTGAGCTGGAGCTAGTTTGGTTAGCATTTAGTTCAACTTGCTAACCACTTAAGAACCAGCTTGCTTTCCCTCATAACGCAGCGCTGTAGATAAATTGTATAATGAGAAGTTCCTCTCGTATTACAGAGAGGATGCAAGCATAGCCACGAAGCCAGTCGGACTAATCAATACAGATTAGAGCCAAACATATACACTGAAGAAAGCCTTTTAGTCTTAAAGCTCATTTGGAAACCTCAGGAGAAGCTCCGGAAAGAAAACACACTTGGTACTTTCCTGTTTACATCTATTTCCTGTCTTTCTTTCCTGAAGAGAGTTTCTGCTTCTGCTGCTAGTCCTGTTTCCTGCCTGCTGTACTTTCCAAGGCCCGTAACTGTGACCCAGTTTATCAGTTCAAACAGAATAGTGATTGTGCCGTTATGTTCAATGTTGTTTGTTGTTCATGTATTGTGTCTTGATATGTGTCTGTTGATGTTACGCATGGAGCTGCTGGGATGCAAGGAGCATTTCAGACTTGATCTGACCATTCAAGTATTATCGTATCGTATTGAATAAAAACCCACCTGGTTCTGGTTCAGGTTGAGGGGAAGTTCTCTCTTGAATCTGGGGTCAGGTGACAGAATAAAAGCCCACCTGGTTCTGGTTGAGGTTGATCTCGATGGTCTGCAGCTCCGACACGTGTGCCGGGACGTTCCGGATCTGGTTCCTGGACAGATCCAGCAGGTCCAGGTGCCTCAGGGTGCCCAGGCCGGGGGGGAACTCTGAGATCCGGTTCCCCGACAGGTTGAGGGTCCGCAGGGCTTTGAGCTGGCCCAGAGAGGACGGCAGCGTCACGATGCGGTTCCCGTTCAGACTCAGAGTCTCCAGCTTCTTCAGCTTCGAGATCTCAGAGGGGAGAGCGGCTGAGGAGAGAGAGACCGGGGAACGTTACCTTCATCTGAGGGGCAAAGGTTCACATTGGTTTTGAGTGACAACATTCAGACTATGCACCGTTATGTTGGTATTGCTCTTTTGTCTTGTGATATGAATAAGAGGGAATCTTCTACTAAGATAATGTTACTGTAACATACAGTCATATCTTACTGTCCACTTTGAATATAGAATATAGACATGTATATATATCAGAGGTGAACTATCAGGGCCTCCAAGGTATTCAGAGAAAACCCTGGAACACTCAGATATAAAACAAACAAATTAATTATATAAATTAAATGTCAATAAAATGAGAATGGTATCTGTGTTGTTGATCTGTAATAATAGAGTAACGTTGATTTGTTCGTCCTTCTCGGTCCGTGCACGACGCATTTCAGTGATTTGTGTTAGAAAAGAAATGCAACCAATCAGATGTTGTTCTGGGTCTCTGGGTCGAATGTCCTTCAACCAGGTATTCTATATCCTTGATAGAAAGCCCTGGCCCTCACACTGAATGAGAGCGAACGTTTGGATTGACAGTTTGATCAACCAATCAGATATTGATTTGTAGCCAATGGGCGTGTTCTCTCAGTTCCCCTCCAGGTCCTCTAGGAGGCCCGGTAGTTCACTGAGAGAGACAGAGGATCTAGAGAAATGCTACGTAGCAATTCATTTGCCATTTTATTGTTTTTAACGTTGAAATGGCAACAGGTGAAGATGATGTTGTTGGGGAATTGTTGTCAGTACCCTTTCCAAGATGACAATTCAGTGAAAAAACGGACATTATTACATTACATTACATGCTAGACGCTTTTATCCAAAGCGACTTACATACTCAGTACTGTGGACAATCCCCTCAGGAGCACTTTGGGGTGAAGTGTCTCAGGGACACAACGCCATGCTGACTGCAGTGGGGTTTGAACCTTTGATCCGAACACCAACGCACTAGTACACTGCGCCACAGCGCGGCGGGGGGTGTGTGTGTCTACTGAAGGTCCAGCTGTGATAGACACGGTTCGCCACTGATATATTTTTATTTTTTATTTTACTGTACTCAGTTTCTTACATATTTATATTTTTTGTAAATATTGTCTTTATTTTAAATCTGTTACAATATTTAAAATATTTGTAATAATAGTATTTTTCTTAAACCCCCCCCCCCAACCTATTCTTCTCTCTGTGTCTCTGTATGCACTCTAACCCCTAGATTCCACCGGGTCCGGCTGCGCCGCGGTTTTGGTCCGGCCTCCTCCGGCGTCATATCCTACCAGGCGCGTTTCAGAAGCGTTTCAGAAGCGGAGCGTCTTGCCTGCCGGCTCGCAGTTTTTGTTGATTTGGGCATATTTCCTGGACAGGCTACTTTGTACAGACAAAGTTAATAATAACTGTAATATTCCAGTTATAAACGACATGAATCAAAGACGTGTTGCTGTATTTTAGTGGTAAAAAAATGCATTCATCATCATAATTATTCTATATATATAATTTACACAGTGCCTGTAAACCGGAGGAGAACGCTGGCATTTCTCCTCCTACTTGAAAGACTACGGAGGGATAGGGTCTGCAAAATTAGTTTGTGTGTGTGTATATATATAGGTCTATATAGCTCTGAACGTTCCACTTCCTGCCTGCCCGACCTTACGTTACGGCTGCGCCGCGACAAAAATAGGATTCGATCCTAATTTTAGAGGAGCCCTCTGGGACGCTTCTGGGACCCTTCTGGGACCCTTCTGGGACGCTTCTGGGACCCTTCTGGGACCCTTCTGGGACGCTTCTGGGACCCTTCTGGGACGCTTCTGAGCCGTAACGTGCTGCGTGCGGTGGAATAGCACCCATTGACTAGAGTGGCCGCGATCGCCGTGAGCACCGCGGCGCAGCCGTAACGCGCCGCAGACGGACCCGGTGGAATCTAGACACGTTCTACGTATAAATCCTCTTCATCATGGAGCACTCACTGATTCTGTTGGAGTTGAGCGTCAGACTCTTCATATGCAGGAAGTTTCCGATGGCGGGGGGAAGAACTTCGATCTTATTCCCCGACAGATCGACCGTCCGCAGGTTAGCGGTGAGTCTCTGCAGCTCCTCTGGAAACTGAAACGACACAAAACGTAAAATAAAGAATTCAATATTTAAATAAAGGACCAGCTGCTGCAGTTTCACTAGTTTGCTCTTTAGAAAACTTCACACCAACCCAAATACATAAAAACACTTGTATAGGTGTATTATAGGTTTTCTTCAACTGATGATTAACTGAATAATTTCCCCTACATGTTGACCTTTGACCCTCTGACGCAGCTGCCCTAACCCTTGAGCAGCCGTTATCTCCCTTAAGGAGGGGCTGCCCTAGCAAGTTGTTGATGTTACCAGTTTGTAACCGGGCAGCTCTCGGTCAGAGATAGTTATTGTTGTGGGACACCTGGAACACATCCTTCTCGAGGTGTAGATGACCTCGAGCCATAACCGACAACAAATGTGGTTCAGTGTCCTCAGCTGTTTGGTCTATTGAAGAATGTTGATTATTACACTCTGAACTAAAACCTGGAGCTACAGGAGGGTCTGCAGAATTGATGGTGGCATCTCTACCGTGCGGTCAGACCGTGGCCCATGACATGTCGTGTGGATTCTCCGGCCGAAGCTCCAAATAAACCGTCAGTGTTTTGCCATCAAAGCTCCAGCTAATTAAATATGTGTTCATTCACATACATTTAAAGATCAGGGACAATGCATTTTAAGTACCACCACTAAGTATATTTAACACTACTGTTTTGCATAGAGTAGAACAATTGACTCAGATGTTATGCATTTGGTTGTGTGATCTTATACTTAGGCAACATTGCACTATATTATCTTGCATACAGTTTCATAACATATGAATTATCATAAAATGATTGTATTGCTAGCTTCTTGCCAATAGACAGCTCTCCTGTGACTGTTGTGACTTAGCTTTCTTAGTGTTGTGGGTGAACACAGCAGATTATAACTTCATCCTCAGTGCCAATATTTCGGATAAACACATGAGATCGTGGTGTGTGTCTCACCTCCTGCAGTCCCTTCGCTGTCAGCTGGAAAACCCCCGTCTTCTGGGAGTTTTCCAGGTGAGTCTTCAGTGCGCTGTTCCCCATCTGGACCCTGTAGCCAGGTACCGTGTGTGTGTGTGTGTGTGTGTGTGTGTGTGTGTGTGTGTGTGTGTGTGTGTGTATGTGTGTGTGTGTGTGTGTGCGTGCGCACACAATAACAGGAGCTCCTCTCAATCTACAGCAGTGAAACTACAGTGAAGCTAATCTCAGGGATCATATCCAAACAGGCTGTTGTCAGTGTGAGTCCCAGGATCAGCTTTAACGGTCCGCCTGCTTTTCTTCTTCGTGGGTGTTAATGAGATCAGGCAGTGAAATCCCTGCAGAAGAAGAAAATCCATAAACAACAAGAAGCAACAGGCTGGAAGAGCTAGCTCCATTAGCTCGCTTGTATTAACAATAAAACCCTTTTATTAATAACCAATAATCAAACATTGTTGAGTTACGTAACACGCTATCAAACCACCCGAAAGTTAACACACAGAAGCTACAAATAGCCTCTTTACTGATGTTTATTATGGGTGTGAACCGGGAGCTAACGTTAGCATTAGCACCGTTCACATTCTATCAGACATTAAAAACAGCTCAAAAACAAGTACAAAATAAAGCAGTTTTACTTACAAGAAAGCGAGAGTTAAACCCGTCGCTTTAAGTCCACATTTTAAAATATAGCTTGTTGAAATGTTTTAATTAAAGTGTGCAGCAGAGTGATGTTAGCCGCCCTGTTTACTAGAGACTGAGTCAGTCTGTGAGCCAATGGGAACAGCGGAAACGGCATACGTCACTACTTCTTCTTTTGATAATATTTGCGGTTATTAAAAACCTTTCGGACGTATTACCGCCACCACCCGGTCGGAAGAGGGACATACACTATTGATTAGTCATTTACAATTTTAAGGTACTTGTACTCGACTTGAGTATTTCCAAATGAAGCTACTTAACATTTCCATTCATACATCTCATAGGTGAATGTTGCACTTAGTTCTGCACATATTGACAGGGAAACATATCTGACACTAGACACTATAAGGGGCCAAGTGACAGCTAACACAATGTAAACGTAGGATATTATTTACATGGAGTGTGCAAGAAATAGAGTAAATTAAATATAAATGTGTTTTTTGAAGGAAAAAACGACATAAGGAACTATGGAGTTGTGAGATCTCTGCCAACCAGAGCCTCTACTTGTGGGGGAAACTTCTGAAGCAATTGGAGTCAGGACTCAGAGGAGAGCTGGAGCTTTGATGGCAAACACTGACGGTTTATTTGGAGCTTCGGCCGGAGAATTCACAAGACATGTCACGGGCCACGAGTTGACCACACGGTAGAGATGCCACCATCAATTCTGCAGAGCCCTCCTGTAGCTCCAGGTTTGAACTAGTTCAGAGTGTAATAATCAACATTCTTCAATAGATAGACTAAACAGCTGAGGACACTGAATCACAGTTGTTGTCGCTTATGGCTCGGGGTCATCTTCACCCCGAGAAGGTTGTGTTCCAGGTGTCCCACAACAATAACTATCTCTGACAGAGAGTTGCCCGGTCACAAACTGGTAACAACAACAATATGCTAGGGCAGCCCCTCCTTAAAGGAGATAGCATGCTGCCCAAGGTTGGGCATCTGCGTTAGAGGGCGAAGGAGGACATGCAGGGCAAATTATTCCCTGACACTTTTTATTTTATTAAATGTCATCCAAATTAAATATACATCGAAAAGAAAACATGATTGAAAGAAAACAACTGTACTGTATGTGAAGAAGACGCCTTCATCACAGTTGGCATAGGGGCATGGTAAAAGGCACACTGAGGGAAACACATTAATAACTTAGCTGGACATTGATAAAATAAAACCCAAGTCATTATTTGTTCAAGACCGCTTTATTTGAAGTCATACATAACAATGCTGTGCCAAAGTAACCTGCTTACCCTCTCCTTCAAGGTTGTGAAGTCCAAACAGAGCACCAGAAAACTGCAGCCTTAAGCAGAGGCTCAATCAGTGGAAACACCTGTGCTCAATTGGAGCATACCATGTAGTGCATGGGCACGGGTGACCATTTTCTTCCAAGTGTAAACGTGTTATTGTTTAAGGCTTCTGTGGTCAGAAATGTAGAATATGTTGACCTATTTGATTTATTGTGTTTAATTAGTTTGAACTACATTTTGAATACGTTTGTAGATGATAAGAATAACAGTAATTAAGGGTATAAATAGTGGATTGTCCTATGGGGAGGGGCTTAACATATATAAACCTCTGGCCACAAGTGTTTTGACGTTAGTCTGACTGTGGCTGTAGAGCAGACGGGTACCAGTAGAGCAGACGGGTACCAGTAGAGCAGACGGGTACCAGTAGAGCAGACGGGTACCAGTAGGGCAGACGGGTACCAGTAGGGCAGACGGGTACCAGTGGAGCAGACGGGTACCAGTGGAGCAGACGGTTACCAGTGGAGCAGACGGGTACCAGTGGGGCAGACGGGTACCAGTGGAGCAGACGGGTACCAGTGGGGCAGACGGGTACCAGTGGAGCAGACGGGTACCAGTGGAGCAGACGGGTACCAGTGGGGCAGACGGGTACCAGTGGAGCAGACGGGTACCAGTGGAGCAGACGGGTACCAGTGATATTTCTTCGACCTGTACATATATATTGAGGTTTGTTTTCTTTCTGTAGATCCTTGTTCCTTTGTGTTCTTTCATCATTTTGGCTGTTAATAAAAGCACCTAAGGAAACATTCCTGCCCACTGTACAACAAATCCCCTCTGGCTGGAAGAGAACTCTCTGCTCCATAGCTTCTCTAGAAATAAAACCACGTTGTATATTTTACTCATATATAATCTGTTCAATATTTAATACTCCATATTCCATATGTCATATATTTTTGAATATATATTTGTATATATAATATCTTCATATATATTTTCTATTTTCTTTTTCTTTCTATTCTTGTTTATTTTGTAAAATGCCTTGTCTTTTATGCTGCTGCAACAAAAACAATTTCCCAAATTGGGATCAATAAAGTACACCTCATCTCTTTTCACCTCACCTCACCTCATCACTCCCTCCAGAAGGTGTTCTTACCTCACCTCACCTCACCTCATCTAACCTCATCTGTCCACTCCCTCCAGAAGGTGTTCTTACCTCACCTCACCTCATCTCATCTCATCTGTCCACTCCCTCCAGAAGGTGTCCTCACCTCACCTCACCTCATCTAACCTCATCTGTCCACTCCCTCCAGAAGGTGGCAGTAGTGAAACTCCAGCTGCCGTTAAACCACCAAAGAAGAAAACAAACCATCGGGCGGGTTTATTTTGGTTTGTTGATATTTCACAAAGCATTTATCTGAATAAACGGTAAGAAGAAACACTTAACTATTAAAAACACATTTGTGGTTGTGTGTACAGCTTCATAAAGTGATTCTTACCGTAACAACTCTTCAGGGACACATTTCCCCACAGCTTGCATTGACGCCAAATCCCTTTTAAAGAATCTACACGTTTTAAACTAACTGTTTTAACATTAGAAAGAAAATACAACATGATTTGGAGTCTTCATCAACTCATCTTCATTCGGCTTGTGTTCATTACAGCACAACTCAAGTTCTTGTTATTTTTATGTTTTACTAAATGTAAATTCAATCTGGCTTTTAATGTGTGATTGTTGTTGTATTGCTTGATTTTAATGTGACTTTAACTATATTTATTTGTTGTTCTTGTTTGCCACTACCTCTGTAAAAGCGCTTACAAAATAAATCTATTAGTAATCTATTATTATGTAAAAACATACAACTGTGCAATATATACTTAAATACTAGGATATATAGTATTTTTGCTCCCGTCACCCTGCATTTCATATTGTTTTCTAATAATGCTGCTTCTTATCCTTTCAGGTGTTTGAACCTGAACTCCTCGTTTCAGATGCATCGCTGGGATTTGTCTCCGTTCTCAGTGACTCCAGCTGCCAGCCTGTTGGCCAGATGTGTCTCCAAAGATATTCTGTCTCAGGTCAGAGCTTATATTCTTTCGAGTCAGTAACAGAAAGAAACCAGCATTAGAGAAACCCACCCACCTGATGAACTCTACAGGTTTGAACACCTGGATCAATGCATCCATAGTTGATGGTCAAAACATGAGGTCCAAACAGTGTCTCTGTCAGCACCTTGGAAATATTGTATATACGTGAGCCTTAGTTTGAAGTTACTGCCAATGTTTCCGGTTAAGAAGTCACGGAAAAACACAACATTTAAACAAAACGATCGCAAGAAAACATTAAAACCACAAAAAGAAGCAAAACAACCCAAAAAGACACAAAGCTACTAACAACCTAAACGAGACACAAAAGAACCCAAAGGAGATGCAGATTGAACACAGTCATGTTCCCACAGAATTAACACAACATGAATGTCTCTACCTGTCCTCAGGGGGAAATAGACTCCGCCTCCTCCAGGCTGAGCCCCGTCTTCTCCAATCAGCTGCACGAGGCTGAACAGCGAATCAGAACGCAGAGACAGCTGGACCAGGTACGCTTCACTCTGACGTCCCATTACCTTACACTTGTTTTAGGATGCTACGTTTTAAACCTGCAGAGTATGTTGTTCCTAAAGTAAGAGCTGTTTCTCTGATCAAACATCAATGTCTTAGTTTGAACTCCCTTGTTGTTGTTTCTCCTGCAGCTGCAGCTTGACATGGATCTGCTGAAGATGGAGAAGAAGAGCGCTGACGTCACCAACAGTTTCTACCTCTGTGAGTGTTTCTATTTTTAAGCATCAGTGTGTTGATGTATTGTTTCAGCCACACATCTCATGTGCAGACTGAACCAACACTATGATCATTTTATATATATATTTATTACATGGCTTAGTTGAATACTCGATTCTGATTGGTCAATTCAGAACACGTGACACGTTGTTAATCCAGAACAGACAGACCGCTGTCAAGGACTTATTGACCGTTGTTAAGGACGCTCACATCTGCACAAAGAAGTCCGTTCGATTTAACTGTTTACAGTTTGGCCGAAAAGCAGTTTGCTTTTCAAACTGACAAGACAAGAGCGACAAGAAAACAGCGGAGAAGTAACGGGGCAGAAACCCTCCTTTTTACGCAGCGGCCCAGACATAGACATCAAACGGCGACACATATTCAGTGTGCAGTTCCTTTGGCATTAGGGCAGGGGTATCTAGATACTTTCCAAGGTCTGACATCATGAACTGAGCTACTTTTAAAGCAAGCAGCGATGTTTTCAAATCTGTAATCAAAAAGCTCCTCAAAAACACTATCGAAGCAGTTCCTGCTGTTGCTACGTAGTTCAAACGGTAACAACGAACTATTTTTCTTAGCGGATGCATGTCACATTATCCCTTACATATATGCTGTATGATTAGATCATTTAAACAAGTCTATCTTTGTGTGTGTGCAGCTCGGAGGTTCCAGATGCTGCAGATGTTCTGCGGCCACCTGCAGGATCTCCTGAAGGAGCAGAACAGTCTGAGGCAGCGCCTGATGAAACCTCTGGGTCGCACCAACCTGCCCGTTCAGGCTCACCTGCAGAGGTAACTGTTGGGGAAACACTTTCCTCGGCCCATAACTTTGACCCAGTTGATCAGTTTGCCCTCACTGAGCACACGCCTACACCTGGAGCTGCTCTCAGCGTCTCCTTACTCCTGCCTGATAGAGGTGTTTCGTCTTGTTATGCACAATGTTGATTCTTCTCTCAGAACCAGCTCAACACATGGGTCTGGGGTAGAGGGTCTGGGGTAGAGGGTCTGGGGTAGAGATCTGCAGAACATGTCTTGTGAATTCTCCGGCCGAAGCTCCAAATAAACCCTCAGTGTTTTCCATCAAAGCTCCTGCTCTCTCTCTCCGAGTCTCCATTGCTTCAGAAGTGTTCATCACAGTAACATCGCTCTGACTCAGAGGTAGTTTCCATGTTGTCTTTTGGAGAGATAGCTGGAAACACAGAAAGAGACCGGTTTGTCCCCAGATTCAAATGTCCTCTGTGCGACAGGTTCGTGGTGGACGTGGTGAAGATGCTGCTGGACTTCATCCAGACTCTGGAGGATAAGCTGACGTCGGTGCGCTGCAGTCCGTCCGCCAGCTACCGCCTCGCTCAGCTGGTCAGTCACATGGTCCTACTTTAATATCACACATGTACTTATCAAAATCAACCCATTTAACCCTCTTCTTCTCTCTGTATCAGAACAAGTCTCTCGCTCAGCTACTGGCTCATGTGGCGGATGTGGAGAGTTTGTCCAATCAGGTCCTCCAGAGGAAGGAGGCAGCAAGCAGAGTGACGGTTCTGCAGGATGATCTTCCTCCTCCTCCTCCTCCTCCTCCTCCTCTTAACATGCATACTGTTTCTGAGTTTTTAATATAATTGTGTCAAATATTGCTATTTGTTTTAATGTTTCAATAAAATCTAATGTTGGTAGAAACTTTTCAGGAGTGACTTTGTTTCTTTAAATTACAGTTAAAAATAACCTTATTCTGGATTTATGTTTAATTGTTTAGATAACTTAAAAGAGATGCCAAGGTTATTTACTAGACACTTATTTATTACATTTCTGAACCTCACTAGCAACTTCATCAGACAACAACCCTTCAATCAGGAGAGACGGTGTTGATAAGAATACATATTTATAGCCAGGAATACACAAATGAATGTAATGGAGTTTTGGCGATTAGGCCCCGTTGTGCAGGAGTATCATTCGGGAGGGGAGAACCGATCCAATGAAACCCCCCGGGGTCTAGACCCTGGTGGTGGTGAATGGATAGTTGGGGTCGGTCTGAAGGGGAGTGGCTTAGCTTGACCCTGGTGGTGGTGAATGGATAGTTTGGGTCGGTCTGAAGGGGAGTGGCTTAGCTTGACCCTGGTGGTGGTGAATGGATGGTTGGGGTCAGTCTGAAGGGGTGGGGCTTAGCTTGACCCTGGTGGTGGTGAATGGATAGTTGGGGTCGGTCTGAAGGGGAGTGGCTTAGCTTGACCCTGGTGGTGGTGAATGGATAGTTTGGGTCGGTCTGAAGGGGAGTGGCTTAGCTTGACCCTGGTGGTGGTGAATGGATGGTTGGGGTCGGTCTGAAGGGGAGTGGCTTAGCTTGACCCTGGTGGTGGTGAATGGATGGTTGGGGTCGGTCTGAAGGGGAGTGGCTTAGCTTGACCCTGGTGGTGGTGAATGGATAGTTTGGGTCGGTCTGAAGGGGAGTGGCTTAGCTTGACCCTGGTGGTGGTGAATGGATGGTTGGGGTCGGTCTGAAGGGGAGTGGCTTAGCTTGACCCTGGTGGTGAATGGATGGTTGGTTGGGGTCGGTCTGAAGGGGAGGGGCTTAGGTTGACCCTGGTGGTGGTGAATGGATAGTTTGGGTCGGTCTGAAGGGGAGTGGCTTAGCTTGACCCTGGTGGTGGTGAATGGATGGTTGGGGTCGGTCTGAAGGGGAGTGGCTTAGCTTGACCCTGGTGGTGGTGAATGGATGGTTGGGGTCGGTCTGAAGGGGAGTGGCTTAGCTTGACCCTGGTGGTGGTGAATGGATAGTTTGGGTCGGTCTGAAGGGGAGTGGCTTAGCTTGACCCTGGTGGTGGTGAATGGATGGTTGGGGTCGGTCTGAAGGGGAGTGGCTTAGCTTGACCCTGGTGGTGAATGGATGGTTGGTTGGGGTCGGTCTGAAGGGGAGGGGCTTAGGTTGACCCTGGTGGTGGTGAATGGATAGTTGGGTTCGGTCTGAAGGGGAGGGGCTTAGCTTGACCCTGGTGGTGGTGAATGGATAGTTGGGTTCGGTCTGAAGGGGAGGGGCTTAGCTTGACTCTGGTGTTGGTGAATGGATAGTTGGGTTCGGTCTGATGGGGAGGGGCTTAACTTGACCCTGGTGGTGGTGAATGGATGGTTGGGTTCGGTCTAAAGGGGAGTAGCTTAGCTTGACCCTGGTGGTGGTGAATGGATGGTTGGGGTCGGTCTGAAGGGGAGTGGCTTAGCTTGACCCTGGTGGTGGTGAATGGATAGTTGGGTTTGGTCTGATGGGGAGGGGCTTAACTTGACCCTGGTGGTGAATGGATGGTTGGGGTCGGTCTGAATGTTAAAAAGACATTTCAACCACTGACTTCGTGGTGGTTCTTCCGTCGGTAGGACAAACAGCTCAGATTTCTCCTCACATTTCAGGAAACAGGTCCTTGGCATTGGCATGACTGGATCGATTGTGAACTGAACCAGAGCTTCCAACAGTAAATGTTAGGCTGGCAGAGGGTGCGGCCAGCGCCGCTGGGTGTGGCCATAGCTCTTCGGGATTGGTCCATTTCGTTCCGGGTACCGCATGACATCAGGCCGTACCCGGAACTAAATGGAAGACTCAAATGGGCAGTGACGTATCTCCAACGAGGCGTTTTGGGGAGGTATTTTCTGTGTTAGAGTTTTACTCGCTACAGGGTGTACTTTGAGGGTTTTGACTCTGCACACCGTTTACATGCATAAAAACCTTCATAACACACAAGGGGACGGGTAAGAACCGGAAAAGCATGACATGGGAGCTTTAAGTATTTCATGATTTCATAACATCCTCTGTAGTCATGTCTGCATGCCTTTGTGGCTGTTATCTGAAACTACTGTAATCTGTTTGGTAGTTTGAACTGCAGTCATAAACTTAATGGTATTTATAATTTAGAAGCAGTTCAACCTGGCCGTTATAAAATAGAGGAAACTGGGGTGATCATCTGGGCAGACTTCAAATCTGTCAGAGTGAGATTCCTCTGTGATGCTCAGGAGCGTTGGTTCAGACTTTATTCTGACTTCACTGTCCGTCTAGATCTCTTTGAAATAATCAAGATAGAAAACAACAAATGATAATCAGAATGTAATTGCAGTCAAAAAATGTGATCATGTTTTAATTACAGAGTTTAACACGTTATACTCAAAGTCTCAGTGCAACAAAACAAATTGATTGTTTATTGTTAGTTTATATTTTGTTCTACTTTTTTATTGTGTTTATAATTTTCTTTTAAGTCACTGACATTTAAAAAAATCTGAAAAACATTTAAAAATATATTGAGGCATGAAAGATGAATGTTTTCATTTGTTATCCAAAATCTTTAAATAAATGAATTGAGTTTCTGTTTTTCTTTTTAATGGATGTCCTGGAAATGTTTGATTACGTTTTTTTTGTGAATTCTTTGCTTTTAAGAAATTAATAAATGTTGTATGTTTTGCTGAAACTGCATGAAATCAACACAACTAACAAATCAAAGCTGTCAATTCTCATTTCATTAACATCTTGTTTCTAGTCAAACATCATTGTTATAGCAGGATAAGATAATATAACAATGTAAGATAGTTGTAGGACTTTTGATGAATTATTTGTAGATATGTTGTTTTACTCCCAGAAGTCATTGAAATTGAGTTTTTCCGTACTGTATATATGAACAATAACATTTGTGTCAATTGAAAATGTCAATTTGTTCAACCTAAAGGTAATTACAGCTGTTCAATTAAGTGTAACTACAGCTTCTGTTCGAGCTGCCTGCAGAAATGCTGGGAACAAAGTAAGAACACAAACTGTCCACTTCAAACTTTTATATATATTTTTTTCCGCGTATTAAATCGTATGTGTTTTTCTTCCAACAGATACCTGGACAAAGTCATCGTCCTGAACTGAATACCAAAGTACATTTCCCTCTGAAAGACATCCTGACTCCATCTGCTGGTGAATAAATGACATAGCAGCATTTCCTGATGTTGATAACTCACCCTGTGACGGAGGTGAGAGGAAACGAAAGTGGATTTTGACATTGTTGAACAGCGCTGAGACGCCATTACAGGGTGTGAGATTTCTGCTCGGAGACACGTTTGGAGTATATTTGGGGAGAAGTGGAGAGACTGTAAGTTGGTGAGTCCTGCTCTAGAAATCACTTTAATACCAAATGGCTGAGAAAATCGCTCTTGTTGAAAGTTTCCTGAGCTGCCATGTGTGTTCAGAGACTTTCAGAGATCCCGTGTCTCTGGGCTGTAACCACAGCTTCTGTTCGAGCTGCCTGCAGACATTCTGGGAACAAAGTAAGAACAAAGACTGTCCCATTTGTAAAAGAAAGTCCTCCAAAGATCCTGTGGGGAACTTTGCACTGAAGGAACTGTCTGACTCCTTTGCTGAGAGACAGAAAGCTGGATCATCTGAGACAGAAAAGGGAGAGAAGAAGGTGGAGGTGGTGTGTAGTAAACATCCAGAAGAGCCTAGATTGTTCTGTATGGATGAAGAGAGAGCTGTGTGTCCTGGCTGTGACTTTTCTCTCCACCAGAGTCACAAGGTGGTTCCTGTAGAACAAGCAGTCAGTGAGCTGAAGGACCTGCTGACATCTGACTTAGAGTCTCTGGAGGACAAGAGGGACACATACAAAGGAGTGGAGACAACATACAATGAAGTGATTCAAGTGTCCAAGAAGCAGCTGCTGTCCACAGAGAGGAAGATCAGAGCAGAGTTCATCAAGCTCCATCAGTTCCTGAAAGAGGAAGAGGAGTCCAGACTGGCAGCTCTGAGGGACGAAGAGGAGCAGAAAGGGAAGACTATCAGCAGAGAGATGAAGAGCATTCAGGAGCACATCTCCTCTCTGTCACACAGTATCTCTGCTGTTGAAGAAGAGCTGCAGAAACACAACGTGCCCTTCCTCAGCAGTTACAAAGCCACTCAGAGCAGAGCCAGAGTCCAGAGCTCACTGTCAGACCCACAGCTGCTCTCAGGAGCGCTGACAGATGTGGCCAAACACCTGGGCAACCTGCCCTTCAGAGTCTGGGAGAAGATGAAGGACCAGGTCCACTTCAGTCCTGTCCTTCTGGACCCAAACACTGCACACAGCCGGCTCTATCTGTCTGATGATCTGACCAGTGTGAGACAAGGAGACACAGATCAGCAGCTTCCTGATAATCCAGAGAGATGCACTCAGCATGCTGATGTTCTGGGCTCTGAGGGCTTCAGCTCAGGGAAACACAGCTGGGAGGTGGAGGTGGGAGATCATCCTCACTGGCTTATAGGTTTGACTAAAGAGTCAGCTGACAGGAAGGGAGATATAGGTGTCTCACCAGAAGATGGAATCTGGTGTTTATGGCATGGCGATGGAGAATACACTAATGGTGCTGGTGAGGCTGTCAGAGTGGAGAAGAATCTCCAGAGGATCAGAGTCCAGCTGGACTATGACAGGGGGGAGGTGTCCTTCTACGACCCTGATCACATGACTCCCATCTGCACTCACAGAGACACTTTCACTGAGAAACTCTTCCCATATTTTTATATTGGACCAGCTGCTGATATCAAAATCTGTCAAAGTGAGATTCCTCTGTGATGCTCAGGAGCGTTGGTTCAGACTTTATTCTGACTTCACTGTCCGTCTACATCTCTTTGGAACAATCAAGAAAAGAATCAACAGATGATGAGATATTAATCTTTGCATGACATTTTTACACATTATAA